GGAAACGGAGCTTTTCTGAAAGGAAAAATGAGCCTTTTTAGAAAGCGGAGGCAGAGCTTTTCTTGAAAGTTTAAGAAAAAATATTTCTGAAAAAGTTTAATTAAGTGAAAGTTTTTTTTTTAGGAAACTTAATTAAGGGAATCTTAATTAAGGGATTATTTAAAAAGATTTGTGGGCCAACCCACATCATGAAACTCCCCCCCACCGCATGAAGCTCCCCCGATTGGACAGATCCTTCCGCTCCACTTCACTCGTGAGTTCCGTTTCCACGTCACTCGTGAGTTCCGTTTCACTCCAGCATCTGTCCCATTTATGGCATATGAGTCATACCTAACAAATCTTCACCTTAGCGAATATCCAGCCCATTAAGAGAAATATATATATCCAACAAATCTCCACCTTGGCGAATATTCAGCCTCTTACGATAAATACATATGCCTAACAAATCTCCACGACGAATATCCAGCCCCTTAAGAGAAATATATAAGTCTAACAAATCTCCACCTTGGTGAATATTTAGCCCCTTAGGAGAAAATACATCATGGAGTTTCTTATGCACCAATGTGGGTTGGGTCACACTAGACTGAATTATTGATTTTCAACATATAGGCCCTCCACCAAGAGTAAACACATACCCAGTTGTGGACCTTATGTCATCCCTGGAGTTTCTTATGCACCAATGTGGGTTGGGTCACACTAGACTGAATTATTGATTTTCAACATATAGGCCCTCCACCAAGAGTAAACACATACCCAGTTGTGGACCTTATGTCATCCCAATCACCAGCATAGTCAGAATCAACGTACTCCACAACCGAAGAATCATCCTGTTGACTGCCAAAAATAATTCCATGTCCTACAGTACCCTTCAGATACTTGAAAATTCATTTGACTGCTTCTCAATGCACATTTCTGGTTTAGCACTTGATTGCTTCCCAATGTCGTCTTCCAGGTTTAGTCATGAATTTGCAGACTTGACTAACAGCATGAGTCAAATCAGGATGAGTACATATCATTACATACATCAAGCAGCTAACTGCACTGGCATATGAAACCTTTGTTATGTCTTTGATTTTTGTATCTGTCTTAGGATACTGTTTTGAAGGAAGATTAAAATAATTTGCCAATGGAGTGCTCACAGGCTTTGTTTTGCTCATCTCAAACCTTTTCAATACTTTCTCAGTATAGACTCGTTGAGATAAACATAATCGTATTATGCCTCTATCTCGATGAATCTACATTCCAAGAATCTTATTCGTATGACCCAAGTATTTCATATCAAATTTCTTGCTTAATAAAGCTTTCAAACTACGGACATCATTCATATTCTTTGCAGCAATCAGCATATCGTCAACATACAGTAACAAAAAAAAAATAATAGAACGATCATCAAGGCTTTTCACATAAACTCAACAATCATACTCACATCGCTTGTAGCAAATCTGAATCATGTAGGAGTCAAATCGCTTGTACCATTGACTTGGAGACTGTTTCAACCCATACATTAATCTCTTTAATTTGCAAACCAGATGCTCCTGTCCAAGTTGAGTGAACCCTTCTGGCAGCTCCATGTAAATCTGCTCGTCCAAATCACCATGCAAGAAAATAATTTTAGCATCCATCTGCTCAAAATGCAAATCCAAAATAACTACTAATGCAAGCACTGCTCTGATTGAAATATGTCTGACCACATGAGAAAAGATTTCATCATAATTTATCCCCTTCTGCTGTGAAAATCTCTTTGCTACCAGTCGAGCTTTGAACTTTTCCCCTTCTTTTTTTGATACTGCTGGTTTTCTTTTGTACATCCACTTGCACCCAATAGTCTTCTTTCCCTCAGGAAGCTGAACTAGCTCCCATGTGCGATTTTTCTGCAAAGACTCTATCTCCTTGACCATTATACCCATTCATTTCTCTTTATACTGCTCATGGCTAGTGATAGCTCCTTGAAAAGTGGTTGGATCATCGTTGTTGATGAGAAGTGCACAAGAGACAAAATCTTCATAACCCAATATGCTAGGAGACCTTAGATTGGTGCGCCTTTGTCTATCTCTAGCTAGATTATAATTATGCATATCATTTGGAATGAAATCACCAGGTGTTGGATTTGAACCTTCAACTCTCTCAGTTGTTTTTGGATGCTATTCTAATTTCCTTTGCACTGCATCTGAACTGGAACTGTTGGCCTTATACATTGTCTTGATTCTACTGCAACTTAGACTGTTCATAAAAAACTACATCTCTGCTGATCACCATCTTTCTTTGCAATCATATCTCAAAACTTGTATCCTTTCACACATTTCTTGTAGCCCAAAAAGATGCACTTCTTGGATTTTGCATCAAGTTTTGATCTTTCTTATGTAGGTACATGCATATAAGCAGGACAACAAAAAATCTGTAAATGATTGAAATTAACTGGATTACCTGTCCATGCCTCTTCTATGATCTTGTCACTCAACTCCTAATGATGCCCGAGATGATCTATTGATGAAAAAATATGTCAAATTCATAGCATCTGCCCAAAACTCTTAGGAAGTCATGCATTCAGTCTCAAGCATCTTGCCTTTTCAGTTAAGGACATGTTCATCCTTTGTCACACCATTCTGTTGTGGTGTCTTGCGCACTGAAAAATGCCTCTGAATCCCATGCTCCTCATAGAACTTCTGAAATTGCGAATATGTGCACTATGTGTCATTATCATACCTCAAATAATCAATTTTTATGTCAGTTTGGTTTTCCACCTCAGCTTTCTACAACTTGAATTTAGAGAATACTTCAGATTTTTGCTTGAAGAAATACATCCAAACTCTCTTTGAGAAATCATCAATAAATGTAACAAAATACTGAGATTCTCCCAACGACGACTCCTTGGTAGGGCCCATACATCAGAATGCACATAATTAAGAATCCTTTCAGTTTTGTGCTTTCCAGTCATAAAACTGACTCTAGCTTGTTTTACAAGAACACATAACATACAAAGATCGAGCTTGCAGCTTTTAACACCATGCAACATGTTTCTTCTATGCAATTCTGCCATCCTACGTTCACTAAGATGACCCAGACGCATATGTCATAACTTTGTACTATCATCATCTGACTCAACAGAGAACTCCACTTATAACTATAATCCCCAACAGTCTGTAGATATTACCTGTAGTTAACTTTCCTTTCATTACAATTAGTGCACCATTTACAATTCTGATGGTTTCCCTATCCTCATCAGCCTTAGGAATAAAACCATTTATATGTAAAGTACCCATGGAAATTAAATTCTTCTTCAGATCTGGAATATGTCTGACATCACGTAATGTTCTAACTGTATCATCATACATATTAATTCTAACTTCTCCAATATTAAAAATATTGCAGCATCTATCATCACCTAGATAAACCGAGCCAGAATTAGCTGACCTGTATGATAAACCACTCCCTATTAGTTGTTATGTGATAAGAGCATCCTGAATCAAGAATCCATGCATCCGTGAACTGAGTTGATAAAACTGACAGCATATCACCATCATTGCAATCTGAATTGTCATTCTGAATAGAAATGGTTTTATTCCTAGGTATGGAAGAAATTGGAAACTCAGCTTATGTCGAAATTTCTTACGAATAAATTGTATCTGAAGCAAAAGTTGCATGAGCTCAAGATGCAAGAATGTTATGATCTGGCATAGTATGTTAATGACTTCAATCAAATAAACACAAATTTATCGCGACTTGATAGGACTATTGAGGAGGAAGGCTGAGCAATGATTCTGTTGTGTTCACTGTTTTCTTCCTATGAACACTTGGTGACTACTCTTACATATGAGAAATAAACTATCAAAGTTGATGAGATCACTGCAGCATTTTGACTCACAACCAACGAAAGTAAAATGCAGGGGAAAACTCTCATGGCGCAGTTTATATGTTAAGGGTAAGCAAGATCGTGGAAGGAAGAAAGAGAAGGAGGGTTTTGGAAGGCGAAATTCCATATCAAAATCCAAAGGCAAAAAGACGATTCATTGCTACAAGTGTAAAAAGCCAGGTCATATGAAGAGAGATTGACCAAAGCTCAAGAAACAGACTGAGGAGAAATGATTCATCGAAGTCTGTAAATGTGGGTTGGGGGTGCGGGGGCAACACCCCGCGGTTTGTTACAGAAGTAATTTAAGTAATTACATATTATACTATAGGGCTATATATATGTCATGTTTGTAATCTCATATTCTATATTATGTACTCTTTTCGGAATATTGAAAGAAAGTCGTCGCTCTGCTTGCGATGCGTAGACATCTTTGTCGAACGTCGTTAAATCTTGGTGTTCTTCTGGATTTGTGTCAATTCCTGTTTCTATTTTTCTTCGTCCTAATTTCTCAACAGATTTTATCAAAAATTTTCTTTGGTTTTGGTTGTTTGGATTTTGGATTTCGTTTGAAATCAGTTTGCTCTAATTTAAAAATCAAATCATCTGAACCGACCGAATGCTCACCCCTACCATTATCTGACCTTCGTCTATCATCTCCTAAATAACATCATCTGAGCATTGCTGTAAAATCACAATCTGTCAACCACCATCGCCCCGGTTACAATCATATGACCGCCATCATTAGATTTTCATGATCCGATCATTACCTTTATCTTTTACTTATTCTATTTCTATCATAACTTTAAAACATGTTATAATCAAGTCTTTTCATCATGTTGAGCGAAATGACAAAATTTATAATTTCAGTTGAAATAAACATTTAATCTCGGTTAGGTAGTGTGATTTTTCATTCTTAATTTCGTAAGTACAAAAATTAGGACATAAAACTCATATTTTATATCTACAAATCTTTTTTTGCATTTAATATCCTGATAGGAATTATGATGAATTTAAAAATTATTTTATTTTTTTAAATAAAATTAATGTTAAATATAAAAATTTTATACAACATTAATTTTTAAAATAATTTTTTATTTTTTTTCGCCCTTTTCCGAGTATTATTAAAAACACCGATGTCACGTGATTTCTTTTTCTTTCGCAGTGCAAGGAGCATCCTGAGGCCCCTCTGTACGGCGGTGGAGTTCTGAAGGCCGGAGCTGCCGCGTTTCAGAAGACGGAGACCGGGAGTTCTTCTCCGGCGTTTGTGCTGTTTAATCTCACTGCGGTTACCAGATACAGCTTCTCATGTCAGTGCAAATCCCTTCACTAATTAGATTAAAATAAGGTTAAAAACTATTAATCTTTTTTTTTAAAAAACAATACTGCAAGTAAAAATTTTATATCATACAAATTTTAGAGTAAATCTAATGATTTAAGTATATTTTTTGATGCAATTTATATCAAAATATTTTAACTTAAAATTTTCTTGATTTTTGGTATTTTTGTAAAGATTTCCCACTATGAATTTTATTAAGACATATTTGAAAATTATTAAATTTATTTAAGTAATTATTGTATATAAACTTAGCATTCCCATTTAAGAGAACTGGGACAAATATTAATTAAAAAATAAAAATTTTTATAGCGAGTGTAATAAACGATATCAGGACTCGTGATGCATTTTTGTATCTGGACTCCAATCAGAATTTATCACATATATAGACAGACTCTCTTATGTATTAAATTAACTTTTTTTTAGTAAGATGGGTCGACTTGTACACCTGGCAGGTATTGATTAGAGTCCTGATGCAAAACTGCATCAGGACTCTTGATACGATATTTTTTCTTAATTAACACAACTACATTAAACTTCCTCATGATAAAAATTTCTAAAATGTGAGAAAAAATATAATTCAATAAAACATTCTTCAAAAGCCATCCATTTCTTGATCATAAGGTTGGTTGAAGATCAACAGAGGAGCCCATTCTGCTCTCCTGAAGGCCAAACTGATCACCGGCGACAAAACCCTAAACTGCGTTGGCTCCTCCTTTGCCAAACACGGCTGCTGGTCTTTTCTCAAGGGAGGCTTCGTCCTCAACACCCCCTCCGAAACTTCACTCATTTTCTTCCAGGTTTTTTTTTATTTATATATTAATTCCTTAACATTAAATAACCATCCATCAAACTATAAATCCTTAAAAGTTGAAAAAATAAATCTTATTTTCTTTAATGTATATAGAGTGCAGATGGAAGCGAAGCAATAGATATCGCGGTGGCAAGCGCAGCGCTGCAGCCTTTCTCAGCCGAACAGTGGGAGTTTCAGCAGAATAGCAGCATAAGAACAGTATTGTTTCTGCACAACAATCATTCAATTTCGACGAACTGTTTGCTTCCGTTTCGGATTTATGAAAAAATCAGAAGAACTTCACAAATCGATATGTGATATTTTTAATAACATTTAAATCACAGAAAATATGTTAAATACAATATAATGAAAACATTTGATATAAAATGCATGAAAAAATACTAAAAAAATTAAATATATTTATATATAACTTACAGGATTAAGAGCTGAATCTACTTATCTATACAGAAAAGAAAGCGTGAGGTAGCAATCCACGTTTCAGACGCGGAAGGAAATCGCGTCGCCGGAGCTTCAGTTATCGTTCAGCAGATCTCAAGGGAGTTCCCCTTTGGCTCCGCGATAGCTAAAACCATACTCGGGAACCCAAAGTATCAGGTGATCTTTTGCTATAATCTAATCTACTTATATTATTTTAAATTTTCGATTTTTTTTCATAATATAAATGCAAGAGAATCGTATATAAAACATTAAAAAAAAAGATCAAAACTTTCGGCAGGACTGGTTTGTGGACCGCTTCAACGCAGCGGTCTTTGAAAACGAGCTGAAATGGTACACGACGGAGCCGGAGCGCCACCAGCTGAACTACACCCTCGCCGACCAAATGCTCCGATTCATCCACTCCCACCAAATCATGGCGCGCGGCCACAACATCTTCTGGGAAGACCCCCATTACACCCCCTCCTGGCTCCGCAATCTCTCCTCCCCTGACCTCCGCTCCGCCGTCTCCTCCCGCATCCGAAGCCTCCTCTCCAGATTCAAGGGCGATTTCGTTCACTGGGATGTCAGCAACGAGCTGCTTCACTTTGACTTCTACGAGCGCCGGTTGATGAACCCAAACGCCTCGCTCGACTTCTTTCTGGAGGCTCAGGAGGCCGATCCGCTGGCCACTCTGTTCATGAATGATTATAACGTGGTGGAGGGGTGCGGGGATGAGAAATCGACGGTGGATTCGTATGTGGAGAGGATGAAGGAGCTTGTTGGGGGAGGGGCGGTGTTGGGAGGGATTGGATTGGAGGGGCATTTCGATGAGCCGAATGTTGTTTTGATGAGAGCTGTGCTTGATAAGCTGGCGACGTTAGGGCTTCCGATTTGGCTGACGGAGGTTGATGTGAGCAGGAGGTTCGGCCATGAGTTGCAGGTATGGTTAAAATCGCCAAAGACCAAATTTTTATCAAATCTTCCCCGTTTGAGATAATTTTATGCAGGCGAAGTATTTGGAAGAAGTTCTGAGAGAAGGTTTTGCTTATCCTTGGGTGAATGGAATCATGCTATGGAGTGCGCTTCATCCCAATCAGTCTTGCTATCAGATGTGCCTCACGGATGAGGAGTTCCGGAACCTGCCGGCTGGCGAAGTGGTGGACCGGCTGCTGGAGGAGTGGGAGACGAAGGAGGCGGGAGGAGAAACGGATGATCATGGAATGTTTAGCTTTGATGGGTTCTTGGGGGGATATGAGGTCGCTGTGAGGTATGGGAACAGGTCTGT